ATAACACTACTGTTGGATTGTCTTGTTATAAAGGCGAACAGCGCAATGAAGGAACGAGTCACGTTGAAATTATCGCAAATCGGTTTATCACTTGTATTACTACCATGCACTATGTACTAGTAAATTTTGGGACTTCTATTTTTGTGTGCATGTGCGGTTTTTGACATGTTGTGCATGGATAGATTTATATCTAGAATATCTATATATTTAATAATATAATTGACATAAGCAAATTGATATTAAAACATTTGGTCAAAATCATAGTAATGGGTTAAAATGCTAAATCGATTATACACAGAAGTCTTAGGAATAAACACATGATCATAACCCACCTAACGTGTGCAGTAAATGCTCATGATTATTCAAACTATATTTATATATTTCAATAGACTAATTCTCAAAGGGTCGTCATTCAGAATTTATTTGGTGGCTGTTTTTGGTTAAGCACTTTTATTTCCTACAAATGAAGCACATACATGCACGCGCGCAAACACGCAAGCACACACACGCACACGCACGCACACACACACACACACACAGACAGACACAGGTACACACAGACACAGACAGACACACACATACACACACACACTCACTCACTCACTCACGCATATATGTATCGACTCTACTACTTTCTTGCCCGAACTTATTGTGTAAGCTAGGAGGTTAAAAAAGGTATAACAGGAATGATTCAAAGAATATTAATATTAATCCACACCACACGCACACACACACACAGACACACACCCAAACACACGCACAGACACACACACAAACACACACACACACACAACACACACACACACACACACACACACACACACACACACACACACACACACATATGTATCGATTCTGCTACTTTGTTGCCCGAACTTATTGTATAAGCTTAAACAAAGGTATAACAGGAATGATTCAAAGAATATTAAATAATCCACACCCCTGTATTACAAAGTTCAAAGACAATAACTCCTTTCATCTTTTTTAGTTCTTCAATATTCACAAACACAAGCTATCCGGTATATGCAGGAAAATAAGTCTACGATATGCCACAGGAGAGCGTGTGTACGTGACCGAAAGAAAACGTTGTCGCAAAATATATGACAAACTATTTGCTATTCTTTTATGACAATCCACGGCGATTTCATTGCACGACATGACTAAGTTCTTAGTGTAGTAGTAAAATAGTACGGTAAATTAGATAATACACACTAATACGCAGTAAGTCTCGCGTGGTGGTTATGCATGTGAACACTACATCTGATTTCTAGACATTAACCCTATTCAGACCTGGGGGTGGCTTTTGAGGCCCGCGGCCATTTTCGTCTCGGATAGCACCCAAACGGCTTGCGCTAGAACCATCAAATTTGGTGACTTTTCCTAAAATGTATCTAGCAACAATTTCACATTAATTACATAAGTTACTGCCATGGCAACGTGTTTCAAAAGGCCACCTCCCGTCTGACCATGCCAAGAAAAGCTCGGTCTGAATAGGGTTAAAGTTGGTACTATTCATAAGTAGGGTCAGCTTAGAACAAAGCGCAGATCAGATTCAGATTATGTGCCAGCCAAAGTGCTGGCTGGCGGGTGCGCCGCCGGCAGACGAACTACAGCAAGTCTAAACAACAAACAGATATCCGCAGTGATGGCTGACCCACGGGAGACACCACGTCTGGAGAGTGAAGAAATAGAAATGTCAGTCCTCCAGGGGGATTTCAACCGCCAGGATCCGGGGATACCTCCGCCTCTTCCGCCCAAACAGTCCCGGAAGGATCCGTATTGTCGCCCCGAACAGACCTGGACGGATCCGTCCTGTCGCCCCAAACAGACTCAGGGGCTACAGTCTCGTCACTCCGGACAAATTCCGGAGGATCCGACTCACCGTTCTAGATGGAGACGTGGAAGAAGGAAATGGAAGGTTTGTAGACTTTGTCAATCAGTAAAATTGATATACAATTTTCTTGTTTTTCTGTTGTGTACACCAGCTAATTATGTACTTTTTCATTTTTTTGTTATAATGTTGGTACTTTTTTGTTTATTTCTGTTGTTACCTTTATCTGTATGTGTGGGGAGGAGAGGGCCACTATAAGTAAGGAAAATTTTTGCTCAATAAATGTGAATAAAAAGAAAGAAAACAAATGTACAATTGGTGTATGTGTCTATAGATAGATGGATAGATAGCTAGATGTAGATTGGATAGATAGATGGATAGATAGACGGATAGATATGTAATATATGGATGTATGTATCGAGAGAATGGCTTTGAGTGTTCAATTGTTTTAATCATCAATCTAAAAAGTTGTGTCGACTTTTACCGTATTGTACGTAAACTATACTCCAGTTAAGCGTTTAACGGTGGTATTGTATAATGTTCTTGTCCTCTGAAGTAAAGAAAGAAATAAACTGTTTTTCCAGGTACCGTCTAGTCACACCCAGGAGACCCTGGGACTACCGCCTCGTCCCCCCGAACAGGCTCCAGACGAACCATCGGTGACTCTACTCCTCCCGAAACAGAGAGACGGGAGAACGGCAGGCGTGTACCGGCACAGGCTACGGGAGGAAGACCTCGTCAAGCTGCCGCTGAACCCGATGTACGGGGCAGACCTAGATCTACCGTCAGGTCAGTTCCAACTGTAACATTTATACATATCCAGTTGCTTTAGTTACTGCTTTTTGGCGTATCTTATTACCTGGATGTCTAACCTTCATCGACACATGTTCGATGTTTACAATGTCACACTCTAGTTGTTGTCAGATTTGAACTTTTGTATATAAGTCATTTATAATTTTTGAACACAAAATATTCCCCCAAACACAAAAACAAGCTGTATGACGCCACAGTAGGCTTACCTCTGATCTTTCCAAAATTATGTCATGGACGAATTTGTGGTTAATGGAATTGAATCCTTCTAAAACTGTTGAAATGTGCTTTTCTAAGAAAGTAATTCCTCCTCTCCACCCTCCTCTTCTTCTTGGCAATGAATTTGTCAAGCGAGTGAAATGCCATAAACAAATTGGAATCCATCTATCATTTAATATGTCATGGAACTCTCATATATTATAGCTGTTGGCTAACGCATAAAAAATGTAATCTTTAATAAACTAAAATTTAAGTTGTCTCGTAAGGTTCTAGAAATAATCTATAAATCTTATATTAGGCCTATATTAGAATATGGGGATGTTGTATTGCACAGCTACACTACTGCTGACCCACATCAGATTGAACGTTTACAACATGAATGCTCACTTAGGCCGTGCCTATAGGCCGTGTCTATGCGGAATCACCCAAGGCGGTTTACATGTGGTTTACCCCGAAGCCGGTTGGCTCCATGTGAACGCTCCGAAATCACATTGAAAGCGCCTCGATCCCAAGCCACTTCTAGAGGTGGTTTCGAATCGGTTTCCCCGCATCGCGATTTGCGTCTGAACGCAATATGATTTCAATGTAACTTCGCCTGGTCATGGATTACGGGGTGATATTTCTTTTTTTATATGCAATACCAACTTTTACGTGGCAGCAACTTAAAGAGCAGTAATGGTCAAATAATGTGTCCGTTCTAGGACGAGCTTCACCGCCTCTGGCGGGACCACGTCGGCATTCGGCCGAGATACGCTGGGAGGGGGGCATCAGCAAGCAGGTCGTTGACCTCTGACATTAATAACACGCCACCTTGTGTGATATCATCAAACATCAATAAATGTAGCTCGAGCGTATTGTGTTCGGACACGGTTTCACAGGTGTGTGTGTCACGTGGACCAGATGTGAGGAATGTGAGTTACCCGAATCGCGGTTTGGGTGATTCCACATAGACACGTCCTTACTGTATCGGGTGCGATTAGAGGGTCCTCGTACAAAGCTATTCCTAATGCACTAGGGTGGGAAAAATTGTCCGACCGCCGACATATTCATTCTCTCATTCTTTTCTACAAAATTGTTCACGGTCACACCCGAACATATCTGAGGAGCCTGTTACCACCCTTGGTGTCTGATTTCACAGATTTGAACTATTGTAAGTCATTTAATTTGGAACATAAAATATTCTAACTTCTCAAAACACAAAAACAAGCTGTATGACGTCAACACTACATTTAGTATGTCGTATATCGACCCCTGGCGCTATATAACCTGGGAATTTTTGCTTCTCTTGCTTTTTGTTTTCAGTTATTTTGTACATTACATGTATACCGTAAATTTCAACATTTAAGTTAGCCGTGTTTATTTAGTGAACCCTCATATGATTTTTACCGCGTAGAGTCACCTTGGTGTCCTTTATTATAGAACTAAGCTCTGTGTTCTGCCACTTTGACTGTACTACTGCAGTGTGGATGTTAGGTACTGTTTGCGCTTTGAAAACTAAGATGTTTTTCAGTTGTTGATTCAACATATGTCACACCGGTGTTTCGAAGGTATTCATTTTTAAGATTTTGATTTCATAGAATTCCCTTTATTTAACATTTTCTTTAATCCTATATCACTTATTGTGGTGGGTCATATGCCAACATAAAATGGTGTATTCAAATTCCTGTAATATTTTACTTATACATTTGTTTTCAACTCGAAATGATTCTGAAAACAGGTATTTTTTTTTTACATAATAGTAGACATTTGATTGGGTATGTGAAGAGATATGGTGTTAATTTTGACGGTTTTCTAGATCCCTTTGGAATAATTTGACTTTGGACTAACACCCCATTATAAAAGAATTTAGTTCTAGGATCCCATCTATAACAGGGGTTTTCTTTACCCCTTTTAGGATTACATAAACACATGTTACAAGTAATCAGGAAGACACTATCACTTATTGTGGTAGGTCACATACCAACATAAAATTGTATATTTAAATATAAATATGTTTATAATATTATACTTCTACATTTCTTTTCAAATCAAAATGATGGCTTTTTAAAACAGAGGTATTTTGACATAATAATAAGTATTTGATTGGATAGGTTAAGAGATATGGTGTTGATTTTGACGGTTTTCTAGATCCCTTAAAAATAGTTTGACTTTGGACTATCACCCCATTAAAAAAGAATTTATGACATCTGGTTCTAGGATCCCATTTAAACCAGGGCTTTTCTTTATCATTAAAAAGGGGGATTTTTCTCACTCTATCTTGTTTATTGATTGATAAAATGATTTTCTGTTCGGAGCTTTAAAGATGTTGTCCGGTTGCATATTCTCAAAATATTTGTCAATATAATTTTTGGGTTTAATGGCTTTTTGGTACAATATCTCGACAGTATATTGTGCCTTCTGTTGGGTTTTTAATGCCAGTAATTACTTTGCCTCTAATGTATGATAAATAAATGTTTCCCATTACCTTTTATCCAGACTAAAAAAAATGTATGTGTGTGTATGTGCAGTTTATAAGTATGTGCAAAGTACATAACACAGGAACAAATGGTAATGTGGACCGCATAACATTACCAGTAATCTACATGTTCTGTTGGATGCATTACACTTACAGTAAGTATTTTCATGTAGTGCATATCTGCAGTCGTAACAGCTGTACACATGGTGCCTTGAATTCAGAATACAGCATTAACAAATTTACATAAAAGTTTTAGTGCCAACAGAGCACTGTTGGTCATAATGAACCTATCAATGTAGAGGTTTCTTTGTGGTTTCACATGATATATATGCGTATTACATTTCTTGTTTTAGCGTTACAAACAGATAAAATACATTGTGCTTTCTAATAACAAACTCAATGTTATCTTTACATCCAAGCCAGGACATATATATGGCATAATTTTGCCGGGGTAAAATATATATTATCTCCAAAGATTACAGATGCTACATTATTGAAATCAATATTAATGCTCTTTTCATAAAGTGAATATTCTATTTTTTTCCAGTAGTCTTTAGCCGTATACACAAGAAAATATGTGCGTAGTTTTCATCCTGAATCCAATCTCACATTTGGGACTGTAGATAGCCCCAGGGGTGTTTACTATTTTCGATTTGTATAGTAAAAAATGGCAAGGAAGTATTTTTTTAAAGTACTTGGAAGTTGAATCCTTTCAATCTGTTTGATTTGATTTATTAGGCTGTATAAGACATATGTATACAGCCAGGACTGCCCAACTAGCCGGAGGCTATTATAAAGGGCCCTTACAACAAGAACATAAACAATTCGGAACAGTTAACAATCTGTTCTATTCTAAATTCAAGGTTTGAGCTTTCCATATTTTCTTCCAATTTAGATTGGGAAATAATTTATTCCAGTAAGTTTGCGAAGTTGGTATTGTCAAGTTGTTTTTTTTTACAAGACAGAGGAAATACAAATATTTACTATTGGAATTTAATATCGGTATTTTACATTTATCGATCCAACTTATGTGGTCCTTCTTGCATATTATTATTTGTTCAACCAAATTCTGTCATTAGTCATTTTATTCAGGAGTGGGGCATTTCTTTTAACATCAAAACTACATCTGAAAATATTAATTTTTTTCTCAAGTTTAGAAATAAAATGTAAAAGTATTACTTGCCAACTTGGTATGTTATTTTAAATAGTAATGTATCAATCTTTTTACCCATGTCTCTTGTTAATTTTTACACTTGGAATATGTATCAATCATTTTGTTCCCCCGTGTTCTGTGTAACTGGAGTATAATGTTTCACATTTCATTTTATCAGGTTTGTTGTCCCAGAGGAAGTAAAAGGATATATTTTTTTAATTTTCAAAATTATGAACCTCAACCTTGATAGATTTAATTAAGTCGGTTTGTCGATTTTTTTTTGTGCCAATAAAGGCGCAGTAAAGTGGACATCCCTGTCGGATGCCACGCTAGAGCAGAAAGAATGCTGCCTTCTCTCTCTGTATGTAAGTCTTTGTGTATGTGTGCCTACGTGTGTGTGTGTGTATGTATATTTGTGTGCATGTATATGTATATGCTTGTGCGTGTGTGTGTGTGTATTTGTCTGTGTGTTTGTGTGAGTACGTACATGTATGTGTGTATGTATGTGTGTTTGTGTGTGTGTGTGTGTGTGCGTGTGTGTGTGTGCGTGTGTGTGTATGTGCCTCATTTGTAGGAAATATATGTTCTTAAGCCAAAAACAGCCACCAAATAAATTCTGGATCACGCCTCTTTGAGAAGTAGTCTGTTGATATCTAAATATAGTTTTGAATAATCATAAGCATTTACTGCACACGTTAGGTGGGTTATGATCGTGTGTTAAGACTTCTATGTTTAATCAAGTCAGCATTTTAACCCATTGCTTTGAGTTTAAAAAAATATTTAATATCTTATTGCAATGATATTATTGAATATCTAAGATACCTTATAGATATGTCTCTAGTAATGGACAACGTGTAAAAAACCGCACATACACGCAAAAATAGAAGTCCCAAAATTTACTAGTACATAGTGCATGGTAATGATACAAGTGATAAACCGATTTGCGATAATTTTAACGTAATTATAACTAATAACACGTACCCATGGCTTAGATATGCCAGTTATACTTACTACCACGTATTGTGAATTTTCAAATTTCCCGGACTATTTCACTAGCTTTAGACTAAGAGCTTATTAATGTTGTACTTTAAAATCTTGTTATAAGTTATCATAAAAGAACAGCAAAATATTGTCGTTTATTTTGTTGTGGGGAGCGTTTTTACGCTCTCCTGCGGCATATCGTAGACTTATTTTCCTGCATATACCGGATAGCTTGTGTTTGTGAATATTGAAGAACTAAAAGAGATGAAAGGAGTTTTTTTGCACGATTTCCAACACAGGGGTGTGGATGAATATTAATGTTCTTTGAATCATTCCTGTTGTGTTTTCACTTGTTTGCCAAACGTCCTTGTACAAAAAGTTAGGGCAACAAGGCAGTAGAGACGATACATGTGTGTGTGTGTGTGTGTGTGTGTGTGTGTGTGTGTGTGTGTGTGTGTGTGTGTGTGTGTGTGTGTGTGTGTGTGTGTGTGTCTGTATCTACAGACGTTTCTGAATTGTAAATTGTTAATATATTCCGTTTCTTCTATTGTAGAACCCGATGACCAACAAGCAAATCCAAACGATGTGGTCGGGGCAACACAAGCCGAGATGTCAGCCTCGGGCGATCCGGCAGACCATAGTACACCAGCAGACGGCCCCGGTCATCCTCCGAACCGAGATGCCCGCAGCGCCCGGCCGGTACCCTCTACCCAGAGGCCAGGAATAACCACCGGCGGGGCCCAACCTGGGCACACGTATGAGGATGGGGACACGTTCATGGGTCTTGGACAACCTCTGAACCGAAAAGCACCGACTCTTCCGTCTACACCGAGGCCAGCAAGAAGCACCGACGGAGACCGTCCTGTGACGGCCGCCACACACACCTACAAGGACGGGGATGCCTTCAGGCAGGGTCTCGGGCCAGCCCTGAACCGGGATGACGGCCCACCACCTGTCCCTTCAACACCGAGACCCGGAAGACGGCCCGGCGGAGCCCAACAACTGCCGAGCTGGCCACAGATGCTGCTGAATCCGCAAGCCATCCTCGATCAGCTGCAGCCAAACGCCATGTACGACTCCAGCCCTAACCAGCCTCCAGGTCGGTATAAAAGCAGTATTGTCTAATGAAAGTTGCTAAGTCTGAATATATAAATCTTATTCATATTTGTAGGAGAGAAGTCTATACACAAAATTGACACGAAAAGTGTGCTATTGTTAGCAACCACAATTAATATACAACAGTCCGTTATTATTATAATTTACTCAACAAATTAATCATAAGAATACTAATTGAGAACAAACATATATTTCTTTTCTGTCCCCCTTGTAGCCGTAGCCCAAGAGAGTCGCACCATTTGGGGACGACTACGTCATCGCCTGTCGACACGCCTGCTGATTGGTGCTGCCATATCGTCCGTTGTCATGGTGACACTGATGATCGTAGTCCCTGTACTTCTGACGCACTTCTGCCGCTCTTGCAACCACGACTCTGTAAGTTAACTGATTTGTTTTGAAAATTTATTTTAACATGAATGATGTGAAATTAAAACATGGATGATGTGGAAACAGGTGCTTTTGAAAAAACGGGCAGGTTTGCCATTTGAACGGCTCCGTTATTGAATAAAAATTTGCGGTAGTAATTTATTTCAATGTAGGCCCAAAATTATGTAAAAATGTTCAAAATTGCAGAAATCGGGTAAATGAATCTTACATAAACTATGTTAATTAAACATTTTCTGTAGAGACCTAATATTACTGGTGACCCAAGTTTGGATTTAGATAATTTTAATATATAACAATAACGTAACTTTGATATGAAAGTCAACACCAGAATAAAAAAAAATTGCAGTGTGACATCAACAGTGACATCTAGCGACGTTTAGTGGAATAGCATGTCTAAAAGGTCGACCCACTGTTGCATGGATTATTGCATGGATTGTTACTACGCCCTAGCTTTATGAGGTCTGAATCCGTTTCGTGCAAAAATGGTCAAAGGGAAACTACGTCCATACGAAATAAGGGAACCACTTTTTTCATTATCAATCTGCTGATAACGATTTCCTCTTAAAAATTCAAAAGATGGCGCAACAAGCATAGTTTATTTACCACTTTACAGTCCGCTACAACCACAGCAGGTCCTAACACAACTGACAGTACTGTTTGGCAAAGTGCTCCTCGGCTGTTGAGTACTGTCAAAGTGCTGACCTTGATGACAACTGCTGACGTCATCAAGGTCAGTACTTGCCAGCCTTCCTTGTGTTTGGGATAGGTTCGTATTTAGTATAATCCCTGCCATGGTTGTCACAAAACAATAGACGACTATTGGCGAATTCTATGCTCCCTGATGTCTAAACAACGTTAAATTTATAAGAATATCAGATTGAGCTTGTAGGTGAGCTATGAATTCTTGTTTAACTGAAATTATAAACATATTTTTAAATCATTTTGTGCAAACAACAAAATAAAGTCATTGTTTGAGACAAATCAAGTTTGGATTTAGATAGTTTTAATATATAACAAGAGTTCCGCGATCTCATACCTTCGCCAAATGATGTTATCCCTTCCGGTTGACGAATTATACAATTTTAATCATTGATTTCGCAAATAATAGCCTCATTTGCATTTTTACATCAGTTGATCATATTCTCCACCTAATGACAGCCTTATCTTAACAAAAAAGGCTATTCAATCACGTCCTCATAAATTATGCAAATGAGGTCATAATTTAAATAAATGATATTTCTGATGTTCACCTTCACGTAACTTCCAAACACGGCAAGTATGAAATTCCCAGCAGTTACAACTATGAAATTATAGCAATTTTCCATTAATTATGCAAACTAGGTCTTCATTTACATAATCTATATCCTCAGATGTTCTTCTCGTTCTCAATTACATGTCATGAATACTTCAACCCATGTTGCTCTTTATGTTATAGTCCACGATCAGCATTGTTTAATTATCTCTTTACAGTCGGCTACAACCAAAGTGGAACATAACACCACTGGAAGTACTGCTCTGATGATGAAGACTGACCAAGTGACATCGGCTGACGTCATCAAGGTGTGTACTTGTCAGTGTTTCTTGGGTTAAACCCCTGTCACACATAGCCAAATATGGCCTCCTTAGCACTAGACCCTCAAACCATGGTTAGGAGTAGGTCAGGGGCAAGGTCGACTGGGTCGGCTGGTGTCAGGAGGGTAGACCATGGTTGGTTGGTGGTTTCCCGGTGTTCGAAAGTAGTTCAGTACGTGGTTGACACTCACTTTTAATTCGAATCCGATTCCCATATAAATCGTATCAGGCTACTCACAACCTTCAAGCAATCTTGGTTGGTTTTAGGTCAGGGGAAGGTTCTGGATGTGTGACAGAGATTAGGGCTTGGCATAATTGCAGCCATGGTGGTCATAAAATAGCAGGTTACCATTACGGTTTAAAAGTTCTATCCCTAATATCCGAACTACGTTTACAGACTCAAAGGTGAACCAACGCCTGTCCTCACTGTCTAGTACAGTATCTCAACCACTTGAGTGACTCTTATGAGCCTGGCTTTGTGGTGAATATAAAGTAAAAAAAAAAGTATATGAGTTGCAGATGAGCTATAATTTCTTAAAAAGCATTGTCCTTTGGGACGTTTTATGGCATGCTTTAATCCCCAATATGTCTTTTCACAACAGGGAATTAGATGTGATAGAAAGAAATTTAGATTATAGAATGTTGCATATGCCTATTCAGGGTGCAACATACCAAGCCATCCATTCTGTGTGAAACTTGTGAAAGACGCCAGGTTGCCTGGCTTGCGGCCTCTGAAACTAAGTGTGCCCCACCTCGGTCTAGCTTGGGTGCCATCCTATTTCCAGCAGGGCTCCTTGCACTCCCTTTTTCGGGCCGTCGAGTACAAGTAGCCCCATTACAATCAAGTTGTAGTCACATGGTTTAATTCTTTTTGTTGTCAAGTTATGAAGTATGAAGGCTAATGATTTATTTTCATTTTAACTCATGAGGCAACCTTAAATATTGAGGGGCAACCTAACTTTTGCTTAAAGTATTTCGAACCCTGCTATTGCACCAACGATGGCATGTTTACCGTTTGTCTCCTTCTAACTGTTTAGGTGAGTCCGGTCCACGGACGTGGTCCCTCACACGTCATCACTGTAGCACGACCCGCACCAATCAACAAGCCTGTTGCAACAGGACCTGCACCAACCAACAAGCCGGTTTCAGCCACTACTACTGAAGGTTTGTCATTACATCTAATAACATGCATGCAATAACGTACAACTACCAACACAAACTGTTGAAGAGGTTCATCAGTCACGTAGGATTATCAATTAGTAGTATATTCCTCAATCAGAGACTCTTTTGTAACTAAAGGTAGAAACAACGTACCTCCAAATTTGGGAGGTTGGGAGCTGCCCAAGTCTTACCTACCCCTACTCCGTAAGGAGGCGGGGAGGCCAGAAGATCCACACAAGTCTCGACCTTGCATCTTGATCACGGAGTGACCTAGTCTTGCGAGAACACGAGACTAGGTCACTCCGTGATCAAGATGCACAGTGGACATCGAAAATTTGGAGGTACGTGTTTCTACCTTACAAAAGAGTCACTGATTGAGGAAAATACTACTAAGGCCACACCAAGTAAATTTTATGGATGACGTCCGCGCGCGCATTGATTTTGGCCTGTCCCTAGAAAAAAAACAAGAAATTCCGCTTCCTGTAACTATGACCAAAGAGTCACGACAGTGCCGCAAATCACCAGATTGATGTGAAACCCGTAACGCGAATAAAGTGTCTATTGATATATATTGAAAGTGTATATCAATAACAGAAAATTTGCACCATTAACAGGACCATCCTGTATATATAAAATAACAGAAAATTGTTCACTGTCCACTGTTCCACCTGATTTATTGCTGTTTTGATTATGAATAAAAGACTTCTTGCTTGTTACACTGTGTCACCTCATTCAATTTGTGTCCTAACATTTGTCGTCTCTTAGTATATTTCTAATCTAGGCATCTTGTTTTTTAGGGCCCTTCTTGTTTTGTTTTCGCCCTCTCGCATTAGATTTAGGGTCTCCAAAGGACGTCATCCATAAAATTTACTTGGTGTGGCCTAACCAACAAAAACTGGTTTTCCGTAAACAGTGAGAGAGCTTCAGAAGATCCATGGGCTACCATGGACCCATTGTCTGGAGCAGTCTATCACCAGACACACGCCTGGCCCAAAATCTGACTTTGTTTTAAGTAAAATAAATCAGAAATGACCAAAACAAACGGACACGAACCATATACCTGCTCTCATGCTCTCAGTATGTGCTTTTGTACCATGTTTGAGTAAAAATAAGTGTATTAGATTTATCAGGACTTTAAAGATACATACTGTGTCTTTGTTATATATTTTGTCTGGCTCTTACCACTTCCGTCATGAGTTCAACCACACCAGAGATGTATACTAAGGTGGGGGTACTTTCAAGTATGACACAACGCGACGTACGCACGCCATTGAAGGAAATGTGAATTATATGAAAGAAAATGAGATCACTATTTTTCTTCTTCTGCAGACAAAGGCGACAAAAAACACGTCATCACCTTTGGCGATGGGTCGGGGGCTGAAAAACTGCGCGGCGCACGCGGGGTCGCAGTTTCCCCCGACAGCAATATCTGGGTGGCTGTCCAGTCCCAGGCCAGTCTCCAAGTGTACAGCATGGCTGGCGCCTTCCTGTACAAGTTCCCACAGGGTGGCCCAGGGCTGGGGTACACGTCGAAGAGGCCAGTTGATGTGTCCATCGATAAAGATGGCCACCTGTGGGTCTTGATGAGCGGGTACCCTGCCAACCGCGACACCCTGGTACAGTTGGACAGGGAAGGTCATCTCAAAGCCAAGTTCGACCTCCCTGACAATATACCACGGGGGGTGCTCCGCGGAATGGCCGTGGGCTTGCAAAACGACCACGTTTTCGTCACCTGGTCTGACGGTTACAGTGGCGGTGTGCAAGCCTTCCAGCCAGACGGGACACACCTGTGGGATGGCCAGCGGGGGATGAGGAGGCCGATGTACGTCGCTGCTAACGAGGAAGGGAACATCTTCGTCACCGACTCCGACACTCACTACATCTTCAAGTTTAGCGAGAGTGGCCAGTACGTGTCAAGGTTCGGAGGACCGGGACAGAGCGGTGGCGGCCTGAGTCATCCTCGCGGCATCTGTGTGGACAGTTCCGGTCACATCATGGTGGTGGACACGAACAACCAGCGCGTGGTGGTGTTCACAAGCCGGGGTAGGTATGTCCGCCACATCGCCGTCCGTGCTGAATACCCAAAAGGGGTTGCAGTGGGGCCGGGAGGACAGCTGGTTGTGACCAACATCAACACAATCACTGTCTTCCCCCACTACTGATAATGATGCACGAGAATGGCCTTTTTACGATGGTTGGACCATGTTGCAATTGATTACCTTCGCCAAGAATTGACGAAGGTTATGTTTTCCTTGCCGTGTGTCTGTGTGTCTGTTTGTCAACAGCATAACTCGAGAAAGCTTAGATGGATTAATATTTGATTTGGTAGGTGGTAGGTCTTTATGAGATTTTGGGCCCCCTAGCGGCTTCTTATGGTACTGCAGCCGAACTTCCAATTTTGATATCTCGTGATCTGGACATGCTAGGGTCATGAAATTTACATGGTAAATAGCTCTTGGGCTAGGAATGAAGTGGCACGAGTTTGAGCCCCCTAGCTGCTTACTCTGGAACTGCAGGGGCGTTAGTTGAAAAATGTGGCGGATAACTCAAGAACCGATAGATGGATCGTCGTGATTTTTGGCATGTAGGTAGCTGAAGTGATGCTTGGCATAATGATATTACAATTATGCAAATATTAATGTAATTTGCATAATTAATGAGGAAATTCTATAAATCAGCTGCATTCCATGATAGGACTATTCAAGGTTGTGTCATATGTAATTAAGAACGGCATAAATACAGGTAGATATCAATTATACAAATGAGGACTTAATTTGCATAATTAATGAGAAAATGTTTTAATACATAGTGGTAACTGCCTGGAATTTCATACTTGGAATATTTGATAGTTATGTTTAAACATAACTTGTTATGATTAAACATAACGTATTCAAATAAGGACCTCATTTGCATAATTTATGAGGAAATACTATAATGGCATTTTGATAAGATAAGACTGTCTTCTGGTGTAGAATATGATCAACAGATATAATTGATGCAATATAGGATCCTATTTGCTCATTCGGGGGGATTTATCTATATTTTCTTAGTCTTAAAGGCTAACCTCATTTGCCGAAGGTATGAGATCGTGGAACTCTGGTTTGATTATGTGGACGGCATCCGCATGGATTTTCGTCCGTTTCTAAACAAATGTTTGCAACTATACTTTTCTATTCTAAAAGCCTGTATCACAAAAATGAAAAACGCCTGGGGGTATTTGGCCACTCTACCCCCATGCCAAATTCAATGTTGTTTGGCCCAAAAATGAAGGAGTTGAATCTATGTAAAGAAATGGCAGGAGAAGGAGAAGAAGAAACATGAGAGAAAGCAATATGTCTTCACCACTTTTGGTGAAGCCATAACAATGCTTTACATTGATATAACTGTTGTATGAAGTTACATATAACTAAGAATATCAACAGTTGGATAGCTATCCCCTACATAATTGGTTAGGATTTTTATTTGCAAAATGCAAACTGTTGATTTTCAAGATAAAACACGTTTATGCACCGCATCCCAATGCTTGAGCAGGAAAGTTTGAAACACCTACCAAAACACTTGCAGTACATGTCAATTAGTGCAGCTGTTAATGGAGTTAATCGAATTAAATCCCAACAGCCAATTAGCAAGAAGAATAGAAGATGGCTGCATGCCTATTGACTCTTGGTCTGCATGCCCTTCTGATGCCTAACCAAAAATGATGACTCACCCCCTTCACTATACACTAAATTGTGACCTCAAAAAGTCCCAAATTAAACAATTTTGACAGAGAGTATGCCAAAAATTATAATGGGTAGCTATATAATGAATGAAGAACTTGAATTAATATTTTACATTTATTTCTAAATTGGCACCCATACTTCACCTGATATTTCATTCAGGTGCCCCAGAAATGTAGGGGTGATTTTAAGAAATCTTTTGGTGATCTTGAAAATAATGTTTGTAGCCTTGGAAAGTTATCTCTATATAAAGTATGCCCACACCAAATTTGAGATAGGTGGGGTGTAATACTAGGTCTCCATTACCCCAAATGTACAGATTATTGTCAGAAAATGTAAAAAAAAAAACAATTGTAAGAGCCTGTGTCCAAGAAATGTTAAAAGAAAAACGCCTTGGGGTATTTGATTACTCTACCTCCATGCGAAAGTTCAGGTTATTTGGCTGACAAATGGCAGAATTGAATCCATTGAAAAGGCAGGAGGAGGAGACTAAGGAGGAGAAGAATAAGAAAAACCAGAGAACACAATATGTTTCCGATAGTGTGGTGAAGCCATAAGAAAAAAAAAGGAAATTTCAGATTTCTGGAAAGCATTTTGACTTCCTGTAATTCTGCCTGTCAGTCTTTACTATCCACGTAATATCAACCTATCCTCATCTCCCTTTGTTGAAATTATCACTTGTCATTCTGGCTGTTAATCTTCCCCACTCACGTGCGTGCTGCCAACCTACTCTGTCCGGACAAACAAGCACACAAATTAAACAAACAGCCCAGCCACCCAAAACAATACTTTCGTATCCAGAAGTAATGAGAAAGTGCACAATAGAGAAATACTTCACTGCAGTTTTATGTACATGGGGACCTGTATTATTGTCTGTACTGTAGTTTTAAAATGGAATTCATATTCAAACTAGAAAGGCCGACATTTGCTTTGGAGCAAATACAGCAATGGCTTCACCACATTTTACGACATGGCAGGGAAAGAATGAGAAACACAAGGGAAAACAATGCTTTACATTGATATAACTATAGTATGAAGTAACATACAACTAAGACTACAACAGTTGGATAGCTATTCCCTACATTATTGGTTAGGATTTTTAATTGCATAATGCAAACTGTTGATTTTCAAGAAAAAAAAGAAGTGTTCATGCCCCACATTCCAATGCTGGAGCAGGAAAGCTTGAAATACCTACCAAAACACTTGAATACAGACATACTGTCAGTATGGAATGGATCTGAGCAGGTATTAATTAAGTTAAGCCTGTTCAATTCCAACAGCCAATCAGCAAGGAGAATAGAGGAAAGCTGCATGCCTATTGGTTGATGCCCTGCATTCCATTGTGATGACTCATGCCCAAATGTGGTAACACTGCACACTAACTCAGTAATACATTCGCTATAACACAGCCAAAAAACTCAAATAAAACCATTCTAAAAGCCTGTATCACAAAAATTTAAAAAACGCCTAGGGGTATTTGCCCACTGTACCTCCATACCAAATTTCAGGACCTTAGGCCCTAAAATGAAGAAGCTGAATCCATTTAAAAAATGGCAGGAGAAGGAGAAGGAGAAGGAGAAGGAGGAGAAGAAACATCAGAAAAAGCAATATGGGTTCACCACCACTTCGTGGTGTGGTGAACCCATAAAAACAGTCCTGTTTCTAATCAAACTATAAATTTGGATTGGTTATGCCTTATGATTTTGACTATTTGTTTTGGTTGACACGTCCTGTTTCCAATGATTGAATACTTTGTTCATATTATTTATTATCTCTATTTTTAATCCAACTATAAATTTGGATTGATTATGCCTTATGATTTTGACTATTTTGTTTTGGTTGACACGTCCTGTTTCCAATGATTGAATACTTTGTTCATATTATTTATTATCTCTATGTTTAGTCATTGATCGTTTACATGTATGTCCTTCGTAACTTGTTCTGTCTTATGTTGGGCTACCTTGGAAATCAGTTGTCCTAAACTGAAGGTACCACCCAACTGTTTTTAAGATCAATAAATAAATAAATAAATAAAAAATTGACATTTTGCCATTGAATTTGGACTAGCTTACAGTTTCACCATGCAGCAATGATATCCCCATAACTCCCCAAGTACCTTCCAGATGTTTGTATTATTTTTATTGTAATCTCATAACATTGGGGGGTGAACTTCAAACTACTTTGGCGATCTCTGTTGCTGTTTATCCTTGTTTATTAATTTTTAGCATTAGCAACTTATGTTTGTCCTTACTGAGTGCCAAAACTTGACATTGATATTTGGCAATTATTTCTAAATTGGCCCCCATACTTAATATTTCATTCAGGTGCCCCAGAAAAGTAGGGGTGATTTTAAGAAATCTAAGGCCAGGGTGATATTGAAAATAATGTTTGTATCCTTACAAAGTTATCTCTATTTGCTTTCTATAGCAATTATACGTAGAAAACAAGAATGGTACGATTATAGTGACGATTGTAGTGATTCATTTCTTTATTTTTCTGATCGAAAAATTTCTACTAACTGTTAATTCTACGTGACTGATGAACCTCTTCAACGATATTTTTGTATCTCAACATGAATGTGACAAATGTGAAATTCATACATTTTTAGAACGATAGTGCCGTTCACTATTACATGATGCAACACAGCAAGTGATACTGATATATACTTTAATATATACAAGTGTCACTTGCCATGTTGCATGTAATAAACGTAGTACTACGCAAAAGTAGTTAAAACTACTTTTGTGTACGTTTATTATATTTTCAATACAGAAGGGACATGTTAGTGTGCATGCAGACCATAGTCTGATTGTGCAAAAGTAATGAACAAAAGATTGATGCATACAAATTACAATAATTTCTATTGTTGTCAGTGTTGTCAGGGTGTGTATATGTACTCTCAAAGTAAGTAGCCTCGCGTTGTGTATACATTATGATATAGCTGTATCAGTTTTAGCAGTCCATATTGTGATATGTATTAATATTTTAGCCTATTGTATTGAGCATTGTGTAACTGTTTGTATATGGAGGCCAAGATGCATTATATATTAGACAATATGGTATAAACATTTTGTGATTAGCACATTCATTAACTTCTTGATGGCTTAGCAATATATTTGACAGCATGTGTTTTTTCTTTGTCTCTGTATCTAAGGCGCCTTGAATGACTCCAACTATTTTATTTACCATCTCTTTCTCCATCTCTTTCTCACACTCTCTCCACATCTCTCGCGTCATCTCTCCATCAGTCCATCTCTCACTCTCCATCTCTCCATCACTCTCTCCATCTCTTCATCTCTCCATCTTTCTCTCCATCTCTCTCCCATCATCTCTCTTCATATATATATATATATGAATCTCTCTGTCCATCCCTCTCCCATCATCTCTCTCTCCATCTCTGTCTCTCTTCATCTGTCCATCTCTCTGCCCATCTATCTCCTATC